ATTATCTTATATGATGAAGATATACTCTTATTCCCATTTTATAGTTGGGAAAACTGCCCATATAGCTAATGATTGATTTAAAATAGTTGCTCTTTCTACTGTGTCATGCTGCCAATCAAGTACATCTTATGTAAATACTTGATAACCAGATAAAATTGTAAAGTATTTTCTTTGAATTTATTGGTATTACCATTTGGGACAGTATTGCAGAGCTGAACGTAAAGATGCCAAGGCCAGATTTTTGGACCCATTTGAATAGTATAAATTAATTGCATTAGTAAACATAACCAGGTATGTTATTTTGAATTAATGTGAATAAGATACTCCTGAAACCTCATAAGTGTAGTTATGTATTTGTATTTTATAAACAGGATGATTAATTTCTAAGATATTGACTGGTTTCAGTGAACAATAAGAGTATTTTCCGCTCATGTATTCAGGATACCTGGCATTTTAAATTCATTCATATGTGTATATATTGTGACCTTACTGATAAGCAGTGGGAAAGTATGATAGATGACTCTCTAAGTAATGAGGGAATATTGAATTTTATAATCTAGGTAGGGGCTATATGACATTTTTTTCCCTCTCTTCTACATTTCAGTTTAGTTGGTTTCACCAGCACTTTTACATAAATAAAAGTTGATTTTAACTAGTATTAAAGGACCAGTTTAATTTCTGATACAATTTTTACTTGCCTTTTCTACTTTCTTAAGTTAATAAACATATAATTTTATAAACTACTATTTTTTCACATATGGAGGCTGGATAGTAAGAAAGATTTTAAATAAATTCTGTAATAATACATACTTTGGAAATGGATTGAGATTAAATGAGAAAATATTTAAAGATATAGTATTAGGTGTGGGTTAATCTAGAATTGAATTGAATTTTATGTGTATAGGGCTCTTTAAATATTTGTACTTTACAGTTGATTTTTAGCTTTTCTCTGGAAGTTTTATTTATATTTTCCTTTATCAACCTGATGACTTTAGGATGTAACAGTCTGTGTAACCTCTGCTCTAATATAGTAGTCATTTATTAAATTTGAATAAATGGTTATGTTTTTCTATTGAATTTTTTAGTTTATTCTACTATACTGAGTTACTTTAAGGACTCTGTGATAATAATTTCTATTTTACTTTTTCCAGTTGTTGAGGAAATATATTCTTATAAAGATGGTAGCTCTCTATAGTAGATATTTATTATAATTCAGGGAATCATTATTTTGAATGTTTATGATCATTTCCTTTGCTCTGAGAAAAGATTAGTCTGGCTGCTAAGAAAATTCAGCAGTGTTTATTATTTATATACTTGTTGTTTGAGTTGATTCTTACTGTCTATGAAATGTGTGGAAAATATAATACATTAACATTTGTATTGAAGTTGATTATAGCTATAGAGTACTTTTTGAAATTTCATTAGAAGTAAGAATATACAATAATGATTTGGCTGAAAAGTGTCTTATTCAAATGCAAACGAAGGCACATAATTTAGCCATTAAATGAATTAGCAACCTTCAAATTATTGATATTTTCAAATATATTCGCAAAATATAGTTTAAACTTTAAAAAAATTATGTTTCAACTTCATTGAAACATAATTTATACCAATAAAATGTACCCATATTAAGTATGCAGTTAGATGATTTTTCTCAAATCTGTATCTTCATGTAATTGTCATTACACTTTTTAATTAGTTATGTGCTTGCTCCCTGGTAAGCACTGTTTTGATTTTAGTCACTATATTGTTTCTCTGTTCTAGAACTTCATATAAATGTATATATTTTTTGTTCTTAGCATCTTTTGCCAGGCATAGTTTTGAGATTCATTCATATTTTTCTGTATATTAGTAGTTTGTCCCTTTTTACTGCTGAATAATATTTCATTTTATAAAATATAGTCAGAAATTAGTTCATGTAGATGATGTTGAAATAATTTAACAGTAAGTTTGAAATATTTTCACTAATAAATTCTTCCACAAATAAATTGAATGGCTTTCATATCAAAGGCTGTACATACTTTCTTCAGTCTTCCCATTGTTTTGCAAAGTGAATCTTCTAGATGAGGAAAATAAGGCAAAGTAAAGAGAAATTATTTTCTCATAATTAAAAGGTAACCATAAGTCTGTTGATCTTATGGCCTTATAGGCCAGTTTATTTTAATCATTTAAGGGGTATCTCGCAAGATTTATATTGATAATAATAAATCCTAAAGTTTATCAATGATTTTATTTTTGAACTATAAAAAATATGATTTTATGTTTTTCGTATAAAATAGCACTGTCTGACTTTCTACATTCAGATTTGCTTTTTTAAGTGGGACATAAAATGTAGTTGAAGCTCATATGCTCAGATTCTATGTAATTTGTCATGCTAGTTTATGTTGTGTATCATATCCTTCACTCATTAATTTGCTTACTCATTTATTTAAGAATATTTGTTAGATGCCCTGGCTGGCGTAGCTCAGTGGATTGAGCACGGGCTGTGAACCAAAGCATCGCAGGTTCAATTCCCAGTCAGGGTACATGCCTGGGTTGCAGGCCATGGCCCCCAGCAACTGCACATTGATGTTTCTCTCTCTTTCTCTTTTTCCCTCCCTTCCCTCTCTAAAAATAAATAAATAAAATCTTTAAAAAAAAAAGAATATTTGTTAGTCTCTACTAAGTGCCAAACACTGCTCTGAGTACTTGGCATATATCAGTGAACTAAATGGACAAAAATCGTGAAGTTTACATTTTTGTAGGCATGGCTCAAACATTAGACATCTAAGAAAGCAAACATTTATTATGGGTAGGGAAAAATTTTTATAACTGCCTTTTAAATCATGTTAAGGAAAATTATATAGAAAGCAACTTCATTTTTAGCTTGACTTGTTTTTGTTAATTCCATTTTTAAACACTGCTGAGAACAATAAAATTTGGGGAAACATTCTCTTCAAAAACATTTAAAATGATATTAATTAAGAAAATGACTATTTTTGCTCCTATAACAATGTCTTACTTTTTACAACTTGTGTAATAGCAATAGTGCTGTAAAATGTAAAATTTAATACATTGACTTTTTGATGGTGGTTTATGAAATCCCAAATTACTTTATATAACAAAAATTTATGTTTCTGTAAACTTTTGTTTCCATTCAATTTATATTATATTTTTCTTGGCTTTGAATATTTATGATAGTTTTTGTTGTAATTTTAGATACAGTGTTACAGCACATCATCTTATTATTTAAATGATTCTTGTTTTGAAACCTCTTTACTTTCTTTTATCACAGTTAATTTTCCTAAGTTAAATTTTACTATAAAGGGAAAGATAAAGAATTTTTAATATCTTATTACTGTAGGTTGAAATTAACTAGGATATATTTTCAGCATATGGTAATGATAGCATTTTATAGTGTAAGATATATTGTCACAAACATTATTAACTCAAAAGTTAATAATTCTTTTGTTGACTTAATTAAATTCATACCTTAGACCATCAGAGTGGATTCACTTTTTAAATTTGTTTTTAACCAGGAAGCTCTGAATGTGCATTTTTTCCTGTATAACTTGAAAAATGGACCTCACATAACTGGTTGTTTTACCTGAGACATCAATTAGACTTTAATTATTCTTATGTTTAGTGAATAGGTGGGGGTATCTGTGGTTAGAGGAGCAGGGTTTTAGAAAGGAGTTTGAGTCAGAGACAGAATGAACAGTAGGTGGTCAGTGAAAAGAGTGTCCTCAATAGACTTAAGAATAGTTATTAACACACAAAACACTGAATTTTTATTTGGATTATTGCTTTTTTACTTAATTTTCAAACAATTCTCTGCGAGGATAATTATTTTCATTGTGTGTTTTAAGTAGTATGATCCAGTAACAATGATGAAAATAGTGTAAGAATAAATGGGAAGGAAGTAGACTGTTTCTAGGATCTCATTTGAAGAGATTTTCTTTTCTTTAAATATTTAGTCATTTGAAAACCATTGAGGTTTGAGGTTCAAAAGTAGAAAAATGGCAGCTCTATGCTCTTAATTTTCCAAGCCTCTTCTCTGATTTTTTATCTCTTCTAATAGCTATTTAATTAGTATTAAAGTCTCCATCATATTCAGTCTTGTATATAGAAACTATTTCTTTTCTTTTACAAGGAACTAGGTGCCTGGAGATAATACTTTTCTTATGTAGCCCTGGAATTATCAAGTTGTGTTAATAATATATCTTTGCTTGCATATTTTCTCTTTGTGTTATTTCCAAAAGGAATTCTAAGCCTAATCATGGAGAAGTGACAAATGAAACCCATAACCAGTCTTGAGAAAGCATGTGCTTTTGTAGTTTAAGATGCACAATAACTAAGATTTAACTGATACTAGACTTCTATTGCAGTTGTTGGTATTTTAAAATAAATTTGAGGAAGGAATAATCTAGCTTACTCCATATGAACCTTTGCTTGTGATGTTTGGAATGGTTGGTAGCTGCTTAATGGCAGTGATAACTTGCTTGGCTAGTATGTATGTTGTTTTTAGAATTTATCCTAAAAGTGACAATTTGCCTGTCACCTGCAAAGTTAAGTGGTATAATGGTAGCTGAGCAGTGAGATGGAAGGGGATGAAGTTGAGATCTTGTAAGAATGAATTCACTCATAAAAAGAAAATGTTTCTTTTTGAGATAACGGAAAGATTAGTTCAAAATATGTGCTTGAATACATTTTGTTTGGTTTTGATTGATTATTCAAAGATACAGCCATTTAATCTTCATATATGACCTGTTGTACAATGATATAAGAAAGAAAGATGATAATGGTGCTTAGAGGATTTTCAGTCTTAGAGCTAATTAAACATGGTTGATTTAATATGCAGACTTAAAAGCTTTTGGTTTTTCCTTATTATAGGCACTTAAGTTATTTGCCACTCTGTTGACCAGTCAACACCAATGTGTTTCTTTTAACTCCAAGAATCTCAGTATGTGGTATTTTTATATATTCTAAATAATTTAAATATGTATTTTTTCCTTCCACAGCATGTTGAGTCCACGAAGCAGAGGACAATAAAGCTTCCTACTTATACCAAGAGAATCTCTTTGAAAGATTCACCACAGGACTACCAGAGACACTAATTTGAATCATCATGTGCTGAAACAGCAGGACACTACTACCTTTGCACTAACAGGAAACAGAATTATGATGTTTGCAATTCTTTGAACTCCAGAAAGCCCAGGGAGTGAGCTGAAAATCTGAAAATGCGGCCATGGACTGGTTCCTGGCGTTGGATTATGCTCATTCTTTTTGCCTGGGGGACCTTGCTGTTTTATATAGGTGGTCATCTGGTACGGGATAATGACCACCCTGATCACTCTAGCCGAGAACTGTCCAAGATCCTGGCAAAGCTTGAACGCTTAAAACAGCAAAATGAAGATTTGAGGCGAATGGCTGAATCTCTCCGGTAGGTTCTAAAAAACTGAAGGAAGGGTGATGAAATTTTGTACTTTGTTTTTAGATGCAGAGTTTTATTCAGCTTTAAAAAATACTTAATGATTTCTAGAAACTATTTTTGCAAAAATTTAGATGTCTTAGTAAGGTACTTTTTATACTAAAGATATCTATATACCTAACAGAATTTCTCAATAGTGGCAGATCTTATTTTGCATATGTATTTTACTGTAGAAAAACTATGCCATTTAATTTATGTACTTATATTTCATTTATAATTATCTTCAGAATTTTGATATATTAAATGCAAACCTTACATGATTTAAATTAGTGTATATTAAATTTTTTATCATGTGGACTATAACAAAAACATCATTGAGAGGCTGAGTTTGTTTAAATAATATTAAAATAAAGAGACAAAAATTTATTCTTAAATAAAATAACTGGATCTGGAATCTAGAGAATTATTATCATTACTACTATTGTCTGTTAAAAAATGTGATATATCTGTTAGAAGGCAGTTCAGATGGCGTCACTCACAGGTTTGGTGATTAGTGGGGGCCATCAGCTGATCCCCTTCCATGTGGCTTCTCGAGCTGGATAGCTCATGTTTCTTACCTAGTAGTGTTCTAAGGGCAAGAGCAGGAACAACAAGTCTTCGTGAGACCAGACATCAGAAGTCACACAGTAATTATCACTTCTGCTACATTCTGTTAGTCTGTGCAAGCCAAAGGGAACTCTGTATTCAGGAGATGAAGGGAGAAACTACAGAGAATTTGTAGCCATAATTAACCCACCAGTCTCATCTCCAGAAGTACTATTGAATAGATTAGATTAGGTCAAATCATGGAGGCCCTCAACAACCAGAGTTTAGTTTATACCTGGTTGATAGATAATAGGGAGCCATAGTAGGATTTTCAGCTGAGGAATGATACAGTGAAAATGGCTTAGGAAGATCTAGATTTTCAAATGGATTTGGGGCATGTGCCTAACTGGAATGAAGTTAACTGGGAGACACAGTATTCTAGGCATGAAGTGATGCTGACCTAGATTAAATTAATGATTGACTGTTGGTTTTTGTACCAACATATATGGGCTTGCTTACTCACGTTTCCTACATGCTTTTTTATTTGGCTTTCCCCAGACATGACTTTCTTTCTTGTTATTTGCCAGCACATTAGGTATTCATGCAGTAAGCTTCCTTTTAAAAACTTAGAAATCATCACTTTCTTGGCCTGCCGCTTCCATGCTTATATTTGTTTCATCTTAGCCTTTAGTAATGTGAAGTTGCTATTGGTTCACAGAATCTTTGCTTTTTGGGATTTAAACCTGCCACTTTGCTTCTCAATCAGAGCTGAAAGTTAGCAGAGAACACCTGGAAAATTATTGAAACTTGTTCGGAAACCGCTTGAGCTGTGAACCTTCAACTAGACAGATGTCAGAACTGGACAGAATTTTAAAATCTAAAGAGCACTTAATTGACACCTTTGATCTTAGATTAAGTCCTTGTTATTCTAGGCCCTTTAAGTTTGATAATACAACTTCAAAAATGCAAATGTGACTTTGTAACCTATTAATAAGTTTTTTCTATTTCTTTTATTTTTTGTTTGGTCCAAGAAGGCAGAAAAAATTTCATCTGGAATTTGGATGTCAGTTGTAAACTGTAAATTTACAAACTACAAAGAATGTATGATTAACTTATGTTTTTCTGAGCTATGTAATCTTTCCAAATATGATAGAGCTAAAGCATGAATCTTCTGGTGGAAAAATTTGTCCTATACAGTAGAAGTATGGAACACTGACATGGGTAGAAAGATAATTGATGTGCCTTTTCACAGGTCATACCTTCCTCTGTTTGAGAAGCTTGCCCTAGAAAATGGGGATGCCTTTATTTTTGTTGGTTGATTGGAGAATTTGCTCACCACTCTCTTCTCTGTAACTGCTCATCTCTCATGTAGAGTGTACTTAATATTTCTGAGCAAGCGAATGGATTGGAATGCATAGGCACTTGCCATCTGTGTACAAGTATAACCTTCCATTAAATACGGTTTTATTTTTGCAACTCGGCATCCGTTATTCCTTACGATATCATGAATATCTTATTTTTCCTTAGGTTAGAATGTTGTTGTGAGATTTTTAGTCAAGATATTTAGCCTTCCCAATCTGACAATTAGATGCTTTCTTCGAGGAGTTTGTATTAACCTTTTAATATATTGCTGTATTAAATTCACCAGTGTTTTAGTTTGGATTTTTTCTATGTTAACAAGACATGTTTAATGTAATTTTTTTCTTATAATTTCTTTCTTATAATCAAGGTTATACAGTCCAGTTCTATCCTACAGAAGGGTTTGTATAAAATTGGTATTAATTCTATATTAAATCTTTGTTAGAATTTCACTAGTGAGTCTTGCAAGTCTCTTGCCCCCCAGATCTTTAGGCTTTGGCTTGCCTGTCTCAGGCCAGTTGCAGGGCAAAGTGGCAGGCACAATCATGGAGATACTGGGTGCCCTTGTTGGTAAGGTACCAGTAGAAATGTCTCCAGGCCAACTGTTCTTGCATGTAGGCTCGTGATTTGAGAGACTGTATGGCTTTCATGTTGTGAAAATTAGGCAATTTCTTATCTGCCCTCTTGGGGTGTTTAGATATGTGCATATCCTTCTTGCCCACCATTACCCTCTCTTAATAAAGCAGTTCATAAATGCCAATCATGTTTTTCTTGGGCATCAACATTGCCATAGCTGCTAAGTTCAGGGCCAGAGCTGGAAGGGACCATAATTTTTTTAATCCTTATTTTTTTCTTTGTTGTCTTTCTTTGAATTGATGAAAATTTCTTATTGTTATTCTGTTTTTCACTTATAGACTTCCAGTTATACATTTTAATTAAGATTTTTAAAATTTATTTTTAGAAAGAAAGGGAAGGAGAAAGAGAGGGAGAGAAACATCAATGTGAGAAAGAAACATCAATCGATTGCCTCTTGTAAGTGCCCCAATGGGGGACTGAACCTACAACCCAGGCATCTGCCCTGACCAGGAATTGAACATGCAGTCTTTTGCTTTGCAGGCCCAACTAACTAAGCCACACCAGTTAGGGCTTAATTTATTCCTTTAATGGCTGCCTTAGATATTTTTAAATTGCCTTTTTTATTATAGTCTATCTTGAATTAATATTTTTACCATTTCTAGACTAATATAAGAACTTTATCCTCAAATTTTTAATCTTCCCAATCTACTTTTGGTCTTTTTATTGTCATATATGTTAATCCAGTATTTGTTAGAACCTGTACATTATGTTATTATAATTTGGTTTAATTTGTCCTAATTGTTTATAATTGACCACATATTTATTCTTTCTAATGTTCTTTATTCCCTCCTGCAGTTTAATTCTTTCATTCAATCCTTTTCCTTCAGCCTGAAAAATATCCTTTAGAATTCTTTATAGTACAAATTTGATGGCAATAAACTATCTTAGTTGCTCTTTTTATGAAAACCATTTTTTTAGCATTCAGTTTTTGAGAGATATATTTACTAGTGTAGAATTTAGTTTCACAATACAGTAGTCCCTCTTTATCTTCCATTTAGCTTTTCTCATGGTTTAAGTTACCCATAGGCAACTGTGGTCTGCAAATAATAAATAGAAAATTCCACAAATAAGCAATTCATGTGTTAGATTGTGTGCTGTTCTGAGTTGTGTGGTAAAATCTGCACTGTCCTGTTCTGTACCCCAACCCTGGACATGAATCATCCCTCTGTCCATGGTATCCATGCTATATGTGCTACTCAGTCACTCAGTAGTCATCTCAGTTATCAGACCAACTGTCCACAGTTATTGCAGTGCATGTGTTCAAGTAATCCTTGTTTTACTTAATAATGTCTTACTCATCTCAGCTCATCTCATTATGTAGGCATTTAATCATCTCATATTATCACTAGAAAAAGAAGGGTAACTACAGTACAGTAGATATTTTGAGAGACAGAGAAAGACCACATTGGTATAACTCATTGCAGTACAATTGTTCTATTTTACTGTTATTGTTGTTAATCTCTTACTGTGCTTAATTTATAAATTAAGCTTATCATAGATATAGATAAAAATATAGTCCATATAGGGTTAGCTACTATTCATGGTTTTGAGCATCCACGGGGGGTCTTGGAATGTATCCCCTGTGGATAAGGGGGAGACTACTGTAATATTTTACAGTACTTGAAATGTCATTTCATTGCTTTTTGGCTTTCATAGTTTCTACTGAGAAGTCAGCAATTTTAGTTGATGTGTTTCTTCCTGCCCGCCCACCCCCTTTGGCTACTTCTGCATTTTAATTTTTGTCTTTTATGTTATACAGTTGACCATGATGTGACTAGATATGGCTTTATTGTTCTCCAGCTTAAAAATTAACTGAGCTTTTCAATTCTGGGATTTTTGATGTCTTTTATATGTTCTAGAAAATCCTCAGCCATTATCTGCTCAACTACTGCTTTTCATTTGTAGGAACTTCAATTATATACATCAGCAGACTTCCTTATGGTGTATTGCATGTCTGTTTGTGTCTTTCACAATCTAAATTTCTCATCGTACTTCATTGTGCATATTTTCTTTTAAACTGTCTTTCAATTTACTTAACCTGTCTTCTGTTGCATTCATTGTAGTGTTGAACACACTCGGTTAATAATTTTCATATATTTTGATTCTGAATTTTTAATGATTATTTTTATAATTTCAGGATTTCTTTGTAAATTCTCCATTTTTATCTATCTTGTTTATGTTTCTTGTAATTTATTTAAATACATACTTTTTCTAATGTATTACATAATGTTCTAGTATATAGATGATATCTGGATCATGTTTTGATCAACTTGATTTTTCTTTTGATTATTAGTTAAATTTTTAGTCTCTTTGTACTGTGGAGACTTCCCACTGGGTTATATTTTCATTGGGCTTACTATTTTATCCCAATACAATCAGTGATTGAGCTGGATCATGGTTGCTTTGTGGTTTTAGTAAAACTTAGCCCACCT